AATACTCACATATCTTTCAAAGAAAAACAGGGAAAAATCCTCTACCCAAACTGGTATCAACTTCCCACTAGTTAGTGAGAGCTGGAGCCATTTTATTCAGAGTAAAGTGCTAGAACACCAGAATTTTAAGGAAAATACTTCTAAATGTAAATGAAAAGGTTTTTTCCCCTATGATTTTTGGGCAATGACCATACTATTTTGTTAACAACTTAGGCTAGAAGTACCAACAGGATTATTTTCTGTCTTTATCTAAGAAAGAAACGAACCCCTCAGCAGAGAAGCAACCGAATATCTCTACATCCTCACACTCTCATGCGTAGTCAACAACTGAAACCCAATTAAATTTAAGCCAGGTGCCCCACAAGGTTACCAAGCTATCCTTGTTCTTAAGTCATCATCTGTGGTATGATTTTGTTTGAAAAGTCCAGTTCAAACCGAAAGCTTGTCTCTATGTGCACTCATTCCTTCCATAACAGCACTTAAGAGGTTCCCAACAATAATCGTAACACTGTTGGGAAAGGAACTGAATGAAAAGATGGTATTTCTCCCAAAGAACTTAAAATGCACTTGAAGTCAATTAAACACTTTATAAAGTAACTAAAGATACTGAACTTCCTGAAAGCTTGGCTTTTAAGGTCAGGCATCCAGAAAAATTACATGTGTTCTTTCACATAAGAGAGAATATTACCCTACGTCTAAGGCTGATGCTAGTGCCTGGATGCACCTTTTCAACTCATTAGACAAATTGCCTCAGTGAAGTGCTAGATTAGATCTGATGCATATGACTCAGCCCTTAGATGTTATGTACCTTCTGCTCCATGCTGGTTAAGTCTCTCACAACAGCAATTAGAAACAGAAAGTCAAGTAAAACAAAACAAAACAAAAAGTACTTTAGGCAAAGCTGGGGGGAGACTGAAAGTTTGAAGGTATAATGGATTCACATCACGTGTGTCTCAGAAGCAATAAATCCTGCTTAGGGAAACGTCTGAGGAAAAAAACACTGTTAGGCTATAAAATTCCACCTCTGAGGATTATAAAACAACATGCACAGAGCAAACATCCTTTTCGAGCATAATAGGACTGTCAGAAATGATTGACAACAATGACAATCTATCATAGGCTGCCGTATCCCTGTGATAGCATCTTGCACAGGGCTGTCTGGCAGAAATAAAACTGTTTATTCATTCCTATACTATGTGGAGGATGGAACATGTCATATAGAATAAATGCACCCTTTCTTTCTGTCTGCTTTTATGCACCTGCATTATCTAAGTACACCTTTTAGTTCATATAACACTATTTCAACTTCCTCTCGGATTTCTCCCCGCTTTCAGGGCAGCTATGCATATGATGACTTGCTAAGCACTGTTCGGGGGAACGTGATGCCTTTATACCTCCAGACTGACGTCTGGAAGCTGCTGCAGACCTGAAACAAAGATGAGAAATGAGCAATCTGGATGCAAAGCTCTAACCCTCACTTGGAGGGAGGGTAAAGCTCCCTTTCCAGAGCTCTGCCAGCTGCGGGTCAGCGAGCAATCCCTCCAACGGGGTATTTCTGTGATGAGGAAATCCTACCCGGGGTGCGTAATGGATGGAGACCACCGGGGTCAAGAGATCCCTGCAGATTGTAATGACTTTCATTAAATCACTGTCTTCCCTGGGCAGAATTTGAGCTGACAGCCTATTGCTGAGAGACTCGACACAGCTTATTACCTATCCCCACACGGAGTTTAATACCGCTGACGGGGCTGACATATCAGCAGCCACCTCTCGGCCAGCCCGCACTGCAGCTCCTGGCACCGTGCTCACGCTCATCCTGCCAATGCTACTCCAGTTGACATCAATTCAGGCAGTTTCTGCAGGCAGAAGTGCAAAATATGCAAGGTAATGCCATATTCTTCAGGGAGAAAGCCCTATCACATATAGGAGATGAGATGAATTTTTTTTTCCCCCCGTTATATTCTGTGTTTACCAACAAGTGACCTCCAGCACAGCAAATCTCTCCTATAAAGCCATAGCCACTACTGTCACAGCTGCTTGTATACCACTATGCAAAAATTGATGCATGAATATCAGCAAAAAGTAGAGTAAATTGACGAAACAGATGGGGGAAAGAGGTTCTTCCAAGAAGCCAAGGAGAAATAAATATGGTCTAATGAAGGGACTGGGCTGACGTTCAGGAGCATGGAGTCCGCATTCTGATAATCAGAAGATACAGCCGTGAAACCCTGAACAAACCCCCCCAGTGCCTCTGTGCTGTGGTTCCTCTTCTACACGCTGATAAGCATCCTTGTTATTTTATCAGTGATACATTGCTGAGAGTGGGGACCTGCACCTCCACAGGCACATGGTCCCCCAGCACAGCCTGGTTTAAAAACGCTCACAGCATTTCCCAAAGTGAAAAACTATGTTTGATTGGTTTCATGATTCATCTGAAGCCAAAAAAAAATTACCCGAGATCAAAGTTAGATCAATAGTGGATCTGAAGCCTTTGCTTCAGACACATCTCCTGGCCTGCTGGTGTCCAGGCAGAGTTACTAAAATTTGCACAATTTCTGCCCACACCAGAAAGGCAGCAGGCATGAGACATCATCCCCACAGACTGTGTTTTCGAAGTAGATTAATAGTGTCAGAGAACAGAGAAATGCCCATTAAGCGTCCCCCCTGATCAGTCACTTCTGGTGTGCTAGCAGCCCCGCTAATTTCTACCCAAAATTTCAAGCTGGATGTTCTCAAATTATCTACCAGCCAAAATCAGGTCCACGCCAAGAGAGGAGGAAAAGGAGTAGAAGGGCCAAGCACTGGATTTCAGCTTATCTTTGTACAGAGCCTCACACAATCAATCTTGCTTAGAGCTGCAGGGCTCTATCTTCCCATAAAAAACACTAGCTGGAAAGAAATTAGATCAGGTAAGGAAAGGGAAATAATTGCATTGGTGATATTTTTTCCTCCTGTGTAATTAGAGCCATAGGGCACTCTGCAGTCAGGGTTAGTACGTACTTTATATGCACACACTGGCAGTGATATTCCTGTTCAGGTAGCTTGCTGCCAGCCTCATGTTTCTTTCATTCCCCAGAGGATTTATTTTATTGGGGGTTTTTTGTACTTGATGTTGTCACCTGTTTACTTCCATCCTTTTACTCACCACTACCACTTTCTACATTGTCATCCTTCCAACCTGAATATCCCAGGCAAAAAAATTGTCCTGTCCTTTCTGGGAAGAAATCCAGGCACATCATGAGAATGCAGGAGCACTTGACATTTCCCCATTGTTATTAGCATTTCCTTAATCAGTCACTCTATCACAGGCACCACTTAATATGCATTCAGGACAACTGATAAATAGTAAAACAATTCTCAGGTGCTAAAATAATTCCTGCACACGGGATTATCGATAGGTACCTTTTTGCCCCGTATTTATTTTAATCCGCAACATGCAGATAGATGCCTGTGAGCATCTGCCTATGCTCATGCCTGACTGCCCAAAGGTATCCCCACCTGCAGCACAGGCTGTGGGAGCAGATCCAAATGCTCCATCTAACCCTCCGTGTTCTCCATGACATTGCAGCAGTGTTCCATCCGTTGGTTTGGTGCAAACGGAGTCAACTTGGCTAAAGATGTGCCGAAGTGCCATGAACACCATACTTACAGAAGCAAAATCCTGCGCACAGCTGGAATGGTTTGCTCACTGTGCACTCCCCAGCCTCCAAAGCCTGGATAGACTCCCCATGAAAAAAATATCCAATGTTAAAATACGTATGTCACTAATAGCAGGGATTCCCAGGCCACTCCTCACATGCAACAAGATCCCTATTAGCCAAAGTAATTAGGACCAAAGGCTTTGAAAGTGAGAGGAGCAGATAAGATAACTACCAGACTCCACATGGGAGAATATGGGAATAAAACATGAAAATGTATAGCTTTCTCTGTTTACATTCTCCATTTAGGCACTTGTAAAATGCTGGCAGCAAGTCACAGGAACCTGGGCCCTGGGGAATGACCAGTCGGTTAACGGAGCGCTGGGTAATCGCAGTAACACTATCGGCACCGACTCGTGTTGGTACCTGCAATGGCAACCCAGGGTTAGTGTGGGAGAGCAGTCAGGAAAAACCCTGAAGAAGATTATTTTGCTAATCCTTACAGGAATAATTCCCTCCTCTTTTATTTTCTTGTTAGTCTTCTAACAAGGGTTGATGGGCACAAGCTGCAATATGGGAATTACCAATAAGATATTCAGAAAAACAAAAAGTCCTCCATGAGAGCAGGCAAAGCGTGGGGCAGGGGATGTGCAATCCCCACCCCTGGAGAGCTCCACAGTGCTCGGGACAGTCTCAGACCTGCTTGGCCAGATTTTAGGGCTTACCAGAAGAGAAGGGAGAGAAGACCACCCTGTTTTCAAAACACCCTCCCAATATAAGCTGTTATTTTTCATCCAGGCTTTACAAATAAAGACCAAAAGGGAATATAAAAAAACAAATATACTGAATATTTCAAAGGGGGGTTTTATAGGATGGAGGAAGCACACTGTAACACAGTAAACCTACAAGCGTGAGATATTTTATGTCAAAGCAGCAAAGGCACAAAGAAACATCTGCACATCATTTCATGACTTCTAAGTGGCATTTTAGAACATGGCTAAACCAACAGCTCAGTTATGTGTCTGGCGCTTCTAAAACTGGCATTCAGCACAGATGCTTAGCAGCAAAATTATTTTCTTTTGCTAGGACTGATGCTGGGTATATTGCTCCATTTTCTCCTGAAACTTCAGAGCAATTTTCATCCCTAAATGTGAGATCCAGGCCCATCAGAAGCTGCACGCTCTGTGCACTGAGATGCCCTTCCCCGCAGCTACAGATTTCAGAAGCCAAAGTCAGTTTTAAACAAGTGTCAGGGACTAATGTTTTCCACTGCTAAAACCACCCGTAAAAATGCCTCTGATCTGTGCGATGTGCCTTCCTCGTGTCCTAACAGATGGGAGTTTATTGATTTCCATTTCCTACCTGTGCATCCATTAGGAGGTGCCTCATCAGCATCATGGCATTTTTCAGAGATTCCTTCTCGCTGGGCAAAAAGGCATCTTCATCTTCATCCAGTGTCTTTGACTTGTTGACAATAAAATGGGAGATCTGGTCGTTCAAGGAATGCAGCGACTCCACAGCTGCGGAGACAGAGAGGGAAAGCAAAATGGGAATGAAACAGTGCCAGAGGGAGCTGACACCATTTTCTCAGTTTGAGATGAGCTGCAATCTGCTTTTAAGAAGTGCAGCTGGAAATTGGTCCCCATTATCTCCCTTGGCCTCTCTGCAGAGAGGACCAGCAAAGGCACGATTCAGGCCGGTGACTACCACGAAGTCAGGTGCTGATGGAGAACCGCAGCAATTGCACCAGGGAGATGTGGTTTAAATTAACACTGTAGTGCTGTTAATTTTTGGTTACTTCCAGATATCAACCGGATTCAGTTAGAATCTAAACACCACAATCTGACTGCTCCCCCAGTCAATCCACATCCCGTCAATTTTCCCTATGTGATAAGGTTTTGCAGCACCAAAATTGGATTTTCAATAGTAAATGCATGCCACAACAGACAGGAGGGTGATGAAAGTATTGAGCTATTGCTATAAGGATCAATAATTATAAATAACCTATAGATATACATGCATCTATAGGTAACTCATCTAAGGTTTAAGGTTACATCTCAGCGGTAGCTAGGGCAATACATGGGTGGAAACAGGATGCACTGAAACATTCTGAAACAGAAGAGTGGTTGGTTAAAAATATTACTTTTCATAAGTAGCCTTTATAAAATCCAGTTGAAACTGAAGATCCTTTCTGCTAAGAAACAACTCATAAACCTTAACCCCTAGGATAGGGAAAATCTAAACAGCAGTACTGTATAGCTGTGAGGAAAGCAAATTGCCCAGGGTCAAATAACAGGTCATGGCTAAAGTAAAACCAAGAAAAAATTAGTCCCCTGACTCCCAGCTCAGAGACTACATCCCTACAGCATGCTGGGACCCAGAACTTCAGCCAACATGAAGGGCAGAAGCCAGAAAAATTGGCTTTTTATTATCTAGGGTAGGAGAGAGCAAGACCAACAATTAAAATATCGCTCATTTTCTTTCTTCACCATTATCAGTATTTGAAACACTGTCAATCTTTTAAATTCTCCTTTACAGGATCAAACCCGAGGTATTCTACGTGGGATTCTGCTCCCAGTCATGCACATCAGAAATCACCACCTCCATGGCTCACTGAAGTCACCCAGCAATTTCGCACACTTTATGATGCTGCAATTTATACAGGCTGTAATATACGAAGTAATGGCAGAATTTATTTCTGCCCAATGAAAAGCTTTGCGTTTCTACAGATCTGAAAAGTCTGCAATGCAATTTGCTTTTAAACCGTTGCAAGTTTGGAGTTTTCATTTTTACTGTAGACTCATTAAATAAATGATGCTCAAATAATTCTTCAGTGTATTTCTTTCTGCCGGTGGTTCTTGCAGTGAAACCCTTTGATAAGCTCGCGGCTCAGAGTAACACATCACTGTCACACGCTGAACTGTGCTTCAGTGTACGTATTGCAAATCCTGATTTGTTCAGGCTGTTTATGAATAAGGCAATGTGGTATTTCGGAGTCTCTGACACACTGATTTTAAGAACATGAGGCAACTGAAATATACTCGACCTAGTTCTGTCCAAAGAAGATCTTCCCACAAAATCTGAAGTAGCAAAGATTAGCCACAAACCATACTTGTTAAGGAGTAAATCCTCCCCAGACAAAAGGTCTATAATGAATAACAGGTACGTCTCCAAAACGCAGGAGTGAAAGAACAGAATCCTCCTTACTAAGAGCATTTATTTTTGATATAAAATAAAATAAAATAAAATAAAATAAAATAAAATAAAATAAAATAAAATAAAATAAAATAAAATAAAATAAAATAAAATAAAATAAAATAAAATAAAATAAAAACGTGTATTACAAAACCTTGGGAAGAGTCTGAGGGGATTGGGAGGATTCCCTGGACTCAGGGTATTCATGTACCTCACCACTAACAGAAAGGGGATTTGAGGCTCATCCGTACAGATGGGTCCATTTTAAACCACACCATAAATCACACTGAAGATAAGGGCTTTGGAGTAACTAATTGAACCAGTTCCAGCTTGCAGAAGCGCGCAGCGGCCCGGGCTCGGGGTGTCAGTGGGTCACCCACGTGCACTGCGCTCGCTGGAAAAGCACGGAGGCACAGGGCTGCCGCTCGGCGCGTTTGCCTGAGCCCCTCAGATTTATGGATTTCGGCTTTGCAAATTGCTCCACTGAGGAAAACAGAGGCTTGCTCCCTCCGGACCAAAGCAACCGAGTCCTGCATCCCTGGCACTTTCAAGGTACAGCAAATCAGCAGAGTATTTCACTGGACGGTACGCTAAGCTGGGTTATGAGAAGGACCAGCAGCTCATCTCGTGATTAACTTCTAAGTTAACACACGACCATCAGCACGCTGGGGACCTTTTTCGAACATCACAGCTTCTCTCTGCACAGCACAGTTCATGCTGTTGATTACGTGCAGTCGGGGCTTTCTTCCCTAGCACTCCGTCCTGCTCATTGCCAGGAAGAGCTCTGAGGGCTTGGAGGCACCTCACACCCCTCTGCACCCTGGTGATTACAGACCACGTGCCTAAAACCGGCGTTTTCCTCCCAATCTCCCCCACCCCCTCAGCTTACAAATACATTTCTTTCTTGCTTTGGTACTCTGAGGTTACACTGGACAAGATGAAGAGCTGTCATGGACAATTCTGTAAGGTCTGGTTTTGTTTCGTTCGGTATGGCAATACCCATTTACAGCTGAACGGAGTACAGATGATGAAGGAGCCTCAGGAGCACTGCTCCCAGCCAAAACATTTCAGTGCTTCTCTCCAGGGCAAAACTTGCTGCTAACACATAGACAAAAGTCACCTGCACCACAAATCCTCGCTCGCCTTTTAGCCAGCAGAACCTGGCCATGATGGACGGAGCCTCCCCAGCAGCAGACCCACCGTCGGACCCCGCTTTGACTTACAGAGGCACGAACCGTTGGCAGAGAGGGAGGCAGAAGCGGATCTGGGGGTATCGCAAAGAAATGCATAAAACTGCAACGTGGGTGTGCAAATTGTTCAGCAAAGTCCCCGCGTTGCCCGTGGATTTCCGGTCCCCTCCTACGTGTATTTAGACAACGCGCATGTCCTGCACCAATGCCAGGGACAACATTTTTAGTTTTCTGCCCACAGTCCTCTGGAAAGTCTCTATCCATTTCCCACACTGAGTCATCTCAAAGTTTAAGCACTTTCTCTTCCGAGTCCCATTACTACAGCTTTGTTCACACCATTATAAATAAGGGTCTGTCAGCATTTCTATTATAAATCTCTGCAAGTCAAGCAGAAGGATTCATTCCAGCAAAGAGCGTGGTGCTGATGTGATTTCTTTTTTTCCCCCCTCTAACGCAAATGGAAGTGAGGAACTAAAAGCCACAAACAGCTTTTGCCTTCTTAGAGAAGTTTTATTTCTTGAAAGAAAATCAGGGCTTAGCGTTCCTCCAGTCACAGGTGCACAGGGATTTCTCCAGCACCGGATCACTTGGTAAAAACTTCTACCAAAACTCTGATGGCCTGCAAACAAAAGCATCCTTCTATTTTGAATACATAATAATTTTACTGTTGTGTGGGACTTACGTACACCACACGCTACTGTACACCACAACTCAGGCCCGCATCATGCTTGTAAGTCAAACACCTCCTTCTCGTGGGACGTGGAGCCAGGGGTATCTGAGGGTCACTACTGTGGACACTGGGTTTTGGGGAGCAGCATGGCACACAGGCACAACGCAGCCACAGTGAGCTTGCCTATGCCTACATGTAGCTAGGTTTCTCCAAGTCATCATGAAGCCATCACTTTGTCATATGTCCTCACACCAACCACCACTCGAACGCCCCAGAAGCTGTACATCACTCACACACAACAGCAGCAGGTAGATGGCTGCATGCAGGCTGCAGCGGGCGACGGCAGGTTTGATTTTCTGATCCCTCCTAAGTTGCACTGACATTGCCATAACACGTCAGTCCTGCAAATCATCTGCCCGGTGCTAAAGCATGAGTACTGGTTCATCCCATCCTTCCTAACTAATGAGGAATTGAGGACAGATCATTTTTTATACTCCAAATTTTTGGCTTGAGCCATAAGCCCACATCTGCTTTCAGTAATAGGAATGTATACCAGAGTTATCCTCCTCGAGCTCATGGCTTCCTTCCAGATTTACACTGACTGTGACCACAAACTGGTATGTGGAACAGTCCTCCCAGGCTTTATGATTTTAAAGTAATTCAAAACAAACAAAATTATATCATCCTAAATTATTCTAACCTCCTTATCTGAAGCAATAGCTCTATATTCTCTATTTCTTCTCTTACCCTTTGGGAAGTTTAGTGTTGGTTGAGCAATATGTGGCACATTAAGCTCTGGGGGGCAAATGTTTCTCTCATTTGTAATCTCTAGGTTTAGAGAGATGCAAGAGAAATCAGAAGACATATTTTCCAGTAAGACTGAGGAAAAAGCAGATCAGTGTTTGACTTGCACTGATTTTTATAAGCATCTGCCATAGTGCTATGTTTAAACTCTGCTTACCAAAACAAATCTTTTTCCATGCAGACAATGGAAACTGTATTTGAAAATAAAATCATCTGAGTCTCCCTCATGAAAGTAAAATACGCATTTGCAAACCTCTGGCCTACACACAAAACAAAAACAAAGGAAGCCTGAAAAACCAAACAACTGCTTTTCTGGATGTCCTGTGCCAGTCTGCAACACAACTTCCAAAGGTCCCTTCTCATAAGCAGGAGGTATTTGATATTTCTCATTTAAATCAAGAGAAATTTCCTGCCTTGTGCCCACTAAAAATTCAAACAAGAAGGATAATGAGGCAAACCTTCCAACTCTCTCATTGTTAAGCCTTCAAAATTTCTGCTGAGCAACACTTCAACTAAAACCAGCTA